GCTGCGCTTATAACGTGTCCTGTAGCTGTCGTCGCTATCTCCCGAGGGAGGGGAGTGCCGGTTCCCGTGGTGAGCGGGGTGCACGTTGACGGGGCAGTGTCTCTCGTGCCGGGAAGGAGTGGTCGTACCGTTGGCGTGTAACGGTATAACGTATAACGGTCGCTGAAAGCCTGCTTCTGTTTGGTATCGCTTTCCCCCTAGGAGCGAGGAAGATGGACGAAGCCGCTGGGGATTTGAAGCAAGCGCTCCCAAATGTGTGTGACAACGTTCAAATACATGTGGAAGTTCATCAGAAATCAAGCAGGTCTCTCTGATCAGAGCTTTACTTGCTGCAGCTTGTGTCGGTGGTCTTTTGTCCTTGTGCTGGGCACCTCTGCTCTGCCTTCTCCATACTCTGCTGTGATCTTCCACACAGGCATTTCTTCCTAAGGTTGAACAAACCTGTTTCTCTCAGCTTCAACTTGTATGTCATGTGATCCTGTCTCATAATCAAGCTGGTTGCCATATACTGCCATTGCGCCAGTATATCATTGTCTGTTGTACAACAGAGCCCAAAAGTACACACAGTACTCCAGATGTGGTCTCACAAACAGCCAGTAGACAGAAAGAATCACTTTACCTAGTGTTTGAACTCTTGCTAGCACAACCTAAAATAAGGTCGGCCTTATTTCTAACCAGGGCACAATAGAGACTCATTGCCACCTTGTCCACCAGTACCCCTGGGTCCTTTTCTGCAAAGCTGCTTTTCATCCAGTTGGCCTCTGATCTGTGCTGTTGTTTAGGCAGTAGATGGAGACACAGGATTTCATGTTTCCTTTTGTTGAACTTCAAGAGGTTCCTGTCAAACCATATCTCCAACCTGCAGATGTCCCTCTGAATAGCAGCCTTGCTCCCTAGTATACTGACAGCTCTTCCTGCTTCGGTGTTATCTATTAACTTGCTGCAGTTGCTTTCCATCCCATTGTCCAGGGCGTAAATGAAGATGCAAAAACATGTGTTGGTCCCAGTATTGACAGCACCACCCCACCTTTTCCTGCAAAACTTACTGGCAGCTCTGCTTAGTCTTTGTCCTACTAATTACAACCCTTTGAGCTTGACAGTCCAGCCACCTTGGTGTCCATTTATCTAGTCCTTATCTTACCAGTTTGGCTATCTGGATACTATGGGAGAGAGTCCAAGGCACAAAATATTAACTACTCTCTTTTTGTCACACTTAGACAAGGAGCTGGAAATTCGCACTGGGAATGCATCACTGAAATTGCAAAATCAAGTTAAAGCCTTTCTGAAATTTTAAAATGGTATTCCTTTTCCTGCAGTTTTTGTCTCTCCCACTGGCATTCTCCTTATAGCTTGTCCCCATCCTGAGGTATCGGTTGTCCTCAGATGTGCAAGCATAATAAATCATAATAAATCTTGCAAGCTAAGTGTACCAAATTCAGTCTAGTAGCTTGACTATGAGTTTTTCTGGTGTTCCTAGTGAAACACAGTCAGATTGCATAACTGATTTCCAATCTTGAAATCTTCTAGCTGAATCATTCCATGTCCCCTGATATGACTTCAAACAGAGCAAATAGTATTCTTCGGCTTGTGTCTTTTAATGCACAAATTAAAAACAAGTACCAAATTTGTTGGCTTTATAAACAAACTGAATTTGATAGGGTTTTTTTTCTGCAGAATGTTATGGGGGAGATTGAGTAGGTTTTGGATTTCTTTTTGTGTGGGTTGGTTTTTTGGGGGTGGTTTGTTTTGGGGGTTTGTGGCTTTTTTTTTTTTTTTTTTTTTTTTGGTTTGGGGTGTTTTTTGTTGGCTTTCTTTTTGTGAGATGAAAGCTGTTTTCCATGTAGGCTTAATGTATGAAAGAAAGCCCGCTGGTATTAGTTCATACTTCCTTATAAATGTCAATGCCATAAATAATGCTATTTCTTTCTTGTTAGTGTGGCCAAGAAAGAAGATATCAGGATAAGTGTCTTAAAGCTGTTGAACAGACATAACATTGTGTTTGGTGATTACAAGTGGACGGAGTTTGATGATGGTTTCCTTAACAGCAATGTGCAGTCTGTGTCAATTGTGGATACGGAGCTGAAACTGAAAGACAGACAGGTATTCATAGTCAAGAATGTACAGCTCTGTTCATATGCCTATGATAGCCTAAGGACACAAGCAAGACAAGGTCTATAGGACAATGTAGTATCTTTTATTAGGCCGACTGGTATAACCAGGAAAAGGTGGCTAAGATTTTGGACCTACGCTCCTTAGCAAGGTCTGAAACAGAAGTAGTAGTCTTCAAAGCTGAATGCCAGCTGAGAACTTATGTTATAATTAGCTTTGAATGAGAGAAATACGATGTATTAAAAGTCTGTTTATGTCCATTCTAGCCTATTGACTTGAGCAAAAGCAGTCTTTCTCTTCATATTTTTCATCTGAATGAAGAAGGACCAAGCTCTGAAAACCTGGAAGAAGAGAATGAGGATATCATTGCAGCTAACCACTGGGTGCTACCAGCAGGTATGTGATATTTTGAGAAGGTCTAGAGCAATTACAATGAAAGAAAATCTTGGAAAGGCTAAAAGTGTTTATAGGGTTACTTGTTAAAGGTATTATTTGTATATACTGTTTAACTTTGTTCTTTGTCAATGGAACCAATATATTTGGTCTTTCTTCTTTATGGTTTTGACTGAACTAGCATAGGTGATTCCACAACACGTCATTTATTTCTGCAATACTTGTGGATGGGTGGAAGTAACTGGTCTTGTGGAATAAAATGTATAGTCATAATCAGAAGCATGCAAAATTTCAACCCAACAAGCTCCAAATTTTTATTCCGAGACCCACAAGAAACTCATCAGTTTAAACATTCATTTTCCAGAGCCCACTGCTGGGTTCCAGCACCCAAGACAGTACCGCTTTTATATTTGTAACAAAAAAAATAAAGAAATTTAGAGTCCTCAGGGTGTCTTCTGAGAAGAAGAGTAGGGCTTTGCTCTGCAATACAGCATGGTCTGCCTGTTACTGTCTTGTGCTTGGGGATGTTGGATTCTGCTCCTGGAAGGAGAAGTACAGGTGTGAGTTTAAGGTCAAAGAGACAGTGATTCTGAGACGTTTCTTGCTCTTCCCACGTTGTGAAAAGCCTAACTATCCATTGCATTTCTTTTGGGGAAGAATTCAATCTGATACTTTGACATGATTCCCATATTATTGTGGTTTATAGTTGTTCAGTGTTTTTTGCCTTTCTTTGCTGAAAGCTAGAAGCGAATGACTAGAAATGATTGATACCCAAATCACAACTTTTGGGTTTTATGCATTATTCAGCTACGTGCTTTTTTTCATCCTCTACATGTTGATGTTAAAAAAAAAAAAAAAAATCTCCTACCCCATCTTTTCATAGCTCTCTATCTTGGGGAAGCATAGATCCATCCTCTATTGAAACTGGAAAGAATGATAGTTTTCCTTTCATGTTAAGAAATTAAGGAGATTAATTTCTCCTCACAATTGAGGAAACAGAAGTTGTGAAATTGCTGAATTTGTCTGTTAGAAAGTAGCGTTTGGATTTTGAGAAAAATAACTCATTTTTTTTCCCATATATTTTAATTACTCTTGTATATCTGTTCTTAATCCTTAATTTTAGTTGAGAATAACTTGTAAACTGCTTTGTGCTGCAGTGGTAGCTTACAAGTTCCCAGATTGATTTATCCTAAACAGGTATGTAATATATTGCTTTTGCAGCTGAATTCCATGGCCTTTGGGAAAGTCTTATATATGACACTGAAGTAAAATCACATGTAAGTTGAAAATGAATAACAACTAAAATTGCTTGAGAGAAGTAAGAGTTGAAATTTAGCTTGTTTGAAGTTTGGTGCATGCCATGAAGAAGTTATTTGGAAAGTACCAGCTCAAAAAAATGTTGTTATAATTTTTGGTAGTTATATACTTCTCTGATGTACACTTAACAAAAGAAGGCAGAGCTGGTGTTTTCAGATTAAACATCATATCTCAGACATATATCAATATGTACTACTGTGAAGTCAGCTTTGCAATAACTCTCAGTTTCCCTGTGAAACTGGGCTCAGTGATGCTCATGCCACAAATTATAAAGAATTTCTTCATATGCATTGGCTTATTTTACAGAAATCAGAAGTTTCACAGCTGGAGGTGTTGTTTTGGTAGCAAGTTAAAACTTCTCAGAGGATTTTCACTTTTGCTTTAGACATATTCATCAGCCTGCGAGAAGAAAACAATGAATGTTCTGTAGAACAGGGTAGAAATTCACTTTATTAAAATACTGCACATTGTTTTAAGGCTCATTAGTTCTGTGTTAGAGGGAAAAAGAAAATTGGTGGAAAAAAATAACTTCAGAGAGGCTTAGAAAAAAATGTATGCAGCATTCTTTGAAATCAATTCTCTATTTCTCCATTGTGAAGGTCTCAAAAGATCTGTTGTGTCTTTGGTGTGGGGCTTTTTTAACGATAAGGCAATTTTGGTGGCTTGCTATGGCTAGAAGAGAAGCATGTTGCCATCAGCTGTATTTGTAGTGCTTCCCTTCTACTGGCACTCTTGTTACCTTGCAGTAACTGACTGAGGAAACTAAATCACTTATTGTGTGATGGGCTAATTTCCACCTGGTTTTGTCCCGTTAATTGATCCACTGTGACCATACCCAATGGTCATGTAACAGAAGTCAAGGGTGCAGACTAGGCGGAAGGGAACGGGAATTTAACTCTGTGTTTCTGACAGCAGCTAGACAATTCATTGGTTTAGCAGTAACATCAGCCAGCACTGTTACTGTTCATACAAATGCACAATGACCAGAGCGAGTGCGCTCCCACTTGAATGCTGGTAAGACATTCGGAAGAAACAAAACAGTTCTATGGGGTCATTTTCTAGTTTGAAGATTCTGTGCATTCGTCAAAGGTTGCGATGATAACTGCCAGAGCTTGTAGAAGTGTAGTACTGTAATCTGAAACTTAGTAGTTGTGATGTGAGTAAAAACCAGAAGTGATTCAATTTGGTTGCTCTTATGACAGCACTCATTAAGATGTTTATCATGCTTGTTAAAAAAAATATGCTTCTACTTGAGGTTTTGGACACAAATAACTAATTCATTGTTTGTAATACCATAGATACAGTATTCTCACTTAAGATTTTATAACTGTCTATAGTAAAGCAAAACATTCCAGTGATTGTACTTCTCCATTTATAAGGTAATCATCAATTAACACATCTATGCTTGTCTAAGTTATGGGACTGCTTTCCAAGTCATCTGTGAAATGACAAGTCTATTTAATTACGCTTACTGATGTACTAAATAACAGCAAGTTGATCACTATTAACTCTAAGCGTACGTTGGTAGAAAGAAGTGGTAGCTTTTAATAACTAAAACTAGAACTACTTAACTTCTGTAAAAGTAATTGTGATGAATGTTCATTCTTCACGCCATGGAACTGGCTGGGTATGGTCAAGTTCTACGGAGTCTAAAATGGTTGCTGTGAATTTTCAAAGTAGTACAGTTAGAGTCAATAAAATATTGAAAAACATGCTGGATGAAGTTCAGGGTTTTTGCTGTTGTGTAATTGCTCCATCTTGGGCATTAGACATTGCAGGAATACTATTGTATTGTCCTATTAACACATATGGATCAAAAGCACATTACAGGTAATAGCAACAGAAAAATAATATGGTATCAGGTGTTATTATAGGTAAAAATCGGTAGAGATTCACACCTGAGGTTCATATTCATTTTATTGAAAGAGTTCTCTACTTAATTCTCAAATGAAGTAGTATTATTTTTAAAAGCAAGCATTCAGGGAAGTACATGCAACTTCCCTTATATGGAAGGATAATCAATCTACCAATTCCGTACAGTAGCTGATATAAATGCTTCAGAAGAAAGGAACTAAAATGTGACAGTAAATGCTTTGTTTGGTGGGTTGACTGCAACAAACTGAACAATTGTATAGCTCTGTAACATCTAAACAGCACCTGGAGTTTGAGTCTTTGACTCTCTGTGCTTGGGCAGCTTGAATTTTAAAGACACACTGTAAGTGGGACAATGGAAAATGAAAATAATTTCACTTCCTTAAAGCATTTAATTTATTTATGTAAAAGTTCTAGAACTCCATATGTGCCAATACATTCTATTCTTTTTCCTGAAGGCAGGAAGGAAATTAATTTCCAGCCTTTGGAGAAAGAAAATTTGCCTATGGCTGAAAGACATAAGCCCATTTTTTTTGTTCGTTAAGAGTATACAGTAGGCATAATTAGGAGATTGCTTCTGTTTGGAATTGTATTTGCTGATTTGTCTCTAATTTGTGTGTCTCTCTTTCTCCTCTTCAATTAGTTACTTGATTATGTGACAACAACTTTACTATTTTCCGACAAAAATGTTGACAGCAACCTGATATCGTGGAACAGAGTTGTTTTGCTGCATGGTAAAAATGATCTGCCTTAAACCAAGTAGATTCATTGACCATCTGTTTATACTTTCCTTCTAGAAAAACTTGTAGCGCTTCTGTGTAGTGAAATTAGATGATCCATAAGCAGCAGAGAAGTATTCTCTCTATAGTACAAGTTTAGATGAAATGTAATGTCAGAATCAAATCAATGTTCACATGTACTATGTTTTGCAGGAATTTAAATTCTAAAATTTATAATGCAGTGACAATAGGTTTTTTTTTAAAATTTTCATTTTTAAGTGATATTTTTGCTTATTGTGTACAAAATGCAAAAATCATGCCGATACTGAGGACATTAGGAGTCATGTATTAGTTACAGTTCTATTGCAGTATTGGAAAATTTGTTAGTTATGGCTTTATAAAAACTTTGGAGGAAACTGGGAAATCAATCTGTGTGTTGTGTTATTAACACTGTGTGTTCTATTACCAAGTATGAAGGCAGTACACTCCCTAATTTAGTTATTACTATTTCAGTGAAGCCGTAATCTTCAGTCCTACACCATGAATGAGATTAACATCAACTGAATCCATTTTCTTGCAAAACGCAGCTTGCTATTGATTAATTACAATTTGTCATCAAGACTGGGATTAAAAAATAAAAGGTCATAGTAGAAATCATAGAATCATAGAATGCTTTGGGTTGGAAGGGACCTTTAAGGGTCATCTAGTCCAAACCCCTGCAATGAGCAACTAGATCAGGAAATGTTTGTTATGAGTGTTGATTATACTTAAGTTATAACTATTTATCAGTTTAGAAGCTGCAGGATGTTTTTATTTGGAAAAATTTATTTCAGATTGTTAACAATATATTTATGGTAGATGTATTTAATTTTAGGAATGAGCTCATTATTGTGATCACACAAGTTAATACTGGGAAATCTACAACTGTTGTAGTGCAAAATATATTTTTGCTATAATAAAAGTCTGTGTGGCTCTTCCATAGGATGTCAAGCTAGATCCAAATGTTTGTCCCAGAGCCTACTTCCTAAGATGCCTTGGGTTACCCCAAGGTAGAGATTTCTGGGAAAGTGGACAGCTGATCAAACTGGGCATGATGTGTTTCTGTTTTACATGTTAGAAGAATATGTTTCAGGAAGATATAAGTTAAAGCATAGCACTGATTTTTTGAGAGTCCTAATAGGCATAAACCCTGCTAGGGTGATATACTTTGCTTCTGTGGCTGTTGAGTAAATTAATTTTGTGGTGTCTGCATACAAACTATTACACTAACTGTACTAATAATTGAAAGTGATATAAATTCAAAGCTCAGCTCTATGACTGTAGAGGAGAAAGCAATCTTCTCAGAATATCCTGGTGTTCACAATCATTGTCTGCTGTGTTTTTATTCTACAGTTAGTGCTGTAATGAAATGCAGTAGTTATAAAGATGTTACATGTCATTAACAACCTGATGCAGATTCTGTGTAATGTATGGATTTGATTTCAAACCAGGCCCTCCTGGAACTGGGAAAACCTCTCTCTGTAAAGCATTGGCTCAGAAACTGACAATTCGACTGTCATACAGGTGATCATTTTTGGAAAATTTTCACTTTAGTTTACTATTGTTAATTGTTCTTTTTCAGTAGCCTGAAGGTATTTAATATTTGATTTCAAGTAACTGGTGCCAAGTGCTATTGTTCATAGTTCTTTTACAGTGCACCTGGCTAGCAATAAAATTGATCTGATAGACTGGTTAGGATATTTTAGTGCCTTTTAAAATGTGTAATAATTTGTGCCTAGGAATGTAAAACAAATTCCAGTGGCGATACAGTAATTTGTTTGTGCTGACATTGTACATCAGTGAATATTAAAGAACAAAGGATCACAGAATATCGAGCTTACTATCTGTATCTTCATGTTCAAGAAAGCCTGTTTTTAATAGGTAGTGATTTTGTAACCATTTTGTTTTGTACTTGGATTGTCTGAATGCACAGTCTGCAGAGGTCAGTCTGTATATTAGACAAGCGTTAGTCTTAAACTTCATAGCAACTTAACAAATTTATATATAAAAAAAAAGTTATATAAAATGCCAAGTGTAACGTAAATAATGTGTAATTATTGAAGTGATCTGACTCTAACCCAATCTGGATTTATTATAAAGGTGGGCTATATAAGCTTTATGCTTTTATATGTGTTCTTGCTATACTTAACAAAATCTTACACAAACAGAAGAATGAGGCCATTAGCATGGTAACTGTAACTTAAACTATATTTAGATAGCACCTGTTCTAATGAAGGAATTCTGATAGCAATTTAATACAAAGAATTCTAGCAGGACTCATTTCTGGAAATGACTATTAAACTCAAAACAGGTATTATGTTTTGAAAGGTAATTTAAAGAACTAATTTACAGAACTCCAGGGTTGAAATGGAGGGAATGAGACTTACGGAAGTTAATGATATCACTGACTTCTATTTACAGTAGAGTTGATACTTCTTTTTCCCTTCATACTTTAGGTATAGGTATGGACAGTTAATTGAGATAAACAGCCATAGCCTTTTCTCTAAGTGGTTTTCTGAGGTACGTATTGATGTAGCTAATGAAGTAGACTTTGTGTTTTAGAAATTAGACCGTTTCTGTTGAGATTGTTTCATAAAATATGTGTGTGCACCAAAGATTACTCAGAATAATTAATGTGTTTGAGAACACTTAAATGGAAGCTATATTAGAAAGTTACTTTAAAAACTAGGTATTTTCATCTTTAAATATGGTAAGGCTTGGAAGGTTGTGTGATAAGGAAATAGTTAAACAAATGCATATGGTGTCTTTCTAGAGTGGCAAGCTTGTAACCAAGATGTTCCAGAAGATTCAAGAGTTAATTGATGACAAAGATGCTCTTGTATTTGTACTGATTGATGAGGTATGATTCTAGTAGCATTGATGTACATGAAATTTAGCAGAAAGTAAATTGATGGGAGGGAACTGTGATAATGCCCATTCATAAAACACAGTAAAAGCTTTTTTGTAAGTTACATAACTTTGTGCAGAAGAGTGAATCTTAATCAGTCAAGATTAAATCAGCTGCAGATTTGAGAGATGTGGGAGGAACACAGTGTGATTTAGCAGGGAAATTCCAGCTGAAAATGAAGTGAAACTTTTCTTGGTGGAACTTCCCTTGCTGCTGTGTGTTTACAAGTGGAGCATTGTTTTAAACTTCAAAGTAGCCTAGATTTGTATTAATTGTGCCCTTACATATGTTGTAAAGCTCTGAAAAGCATTATTATAGCTCAATTCCTTGTCTAGATTCTCTTCAGACTTGAATACATAAGCAACTTAGTAAGTGTGTACCTTATTAGCTTTGTTATATTGGAGCTCTTATGGGAAAGCTTATTCTAAATTCAATGTATTTATTATTGTGTTGTGTATGTCCTGTCCCCTCACTCCCTAAAATTTAATTAAAACGAAAACCAGCCTCCATTCTGCTGTCTAAACAGGAATTTCACTCACTACACTTTGGTTCCTTCACATTCCTTTCCCTCTCCCTGTAAATTCCTACTGAACAAATATTTTGAAGATAAAGTTTTAGACACCTGACACAAGGATCTGAAGGTGTATTGTCTGAGTTATTTGCTTGCTGCCAGCACTCCAAATATGCAATCTTTTGTGGTTTTTTTGGTGTTTTTTGATATCTTCTTTTGTTGATTTTGTTGATTGGTTGGTTGGTTTGATTTTTTGTAGGTGGAAAGCCTCACAGCAGCCCGCAGTGCCTTTAAGGCAGGCACAGAGCCTTCAGATGCTATTCGTGTGGTGAATGCTGTACTGACACAAATAGATCAGATTAAAAGGTAAACTCATATTATTGCAACAGCAAAAAGTAATTGACAGTTTCAAGATTCCTGCTAAATCTTAATTCCTACTTGAAATACTAAACCAAATTGGTTAGTAAACTATTTTTTGTTAATGTTGCTAATTGTGAAAAGAAATAGGAGTAATCCAACAGAATCTTTTGCATGTAACCGAATGAACAATCAGATCTACAGATGGTATACTTCCTTTAAAGCTAGGGAGAGATACAGGACAGATGGTCATGATATCTGCTTGAAGAGACAAGAATAAGATCAATGAAGAATTCATTCATTATTTACAGCTTTTGAATGTCAATCGAAAGCAGACTTGCCCAACACATGGCTTAGAAGCAATCATTAATGATGATTGGTCCACTTTGTGTGCTGGATTTAGTGCAGCATACCATCTTCTGTTTTATTCCTGCCACTTCCCTCCACTTTTTGCGCATACTTAGCTCTGTTCACAGAAAGAAAGGTGGCCTAGTATTCAGCTCTGTCTTGCAGTAATTAAAGGTAAGTGGCTTATTAATATGTAAAAGTTCACAGGCTTCACTTAAAAATAGCTATGGTTAAGAATATTCTTTCAATATTTCTTAGAGCAAGGAGACGTTACGTCTCTTTTAAGCTCACTCTAATGTCACCCACAGTTAGAACATGTCACACTGCCAGTTAAACTACTGAATTGAGATGGAAAACATGTAGATTAAAGGTTCAAATTTACGAGTCGTCTTTTCATAATCTTTTTTTTTTTGGTGGCAGAAACTGTGCTGGTAAACTCTAGATAGTTAATGTGTATCAGTTCTAAAATAGGGTTAGAGAAACTATGGACACTTGAGAAACAGCTGAAATAAAGAGAATGTGCTTTGAAATACATTGGTCATAACTGGCCAAGAGCTTCAGATCATTTGATGTAATTGTTGGCTGACAAGAGTGATGTGACTGCTTATTGCATGAAATGGCTTGAGTCAGAAAAGGAGATAATTCTTGTACATCTGACCTAAAAATCTGCTTTTATCTTGAAGGTATCCCAATGTAGTTATTCTGACTACTTCAAATATTACGGAGAAAATTGACCTGGCCTTTGTAGACAGGGCTGACATAAAGCAATTCATTGGACCTCCATCCACTGCAGCAGTATTTAGAATATATCTTTCTTGCTTGGAAGAACTGATGAAGGTAATATTTGAAAGCAAGACTGTAAAATGTCCTATTTTAATACACTTGACATTTTAATCATACTTCCTAGATAACAAAAATACACAAATTTCATTCCTTCTCTGTATTTCAACTCTTACTGTAGAATTTAATTTTGAATATATTTAAGTTTTTCATACAACAGTGTATAACTCTTCTTTCTAGTGTCAAATAATTTATCCTCGACAGCAGCTCCTGACACTCAGAGAGCTAGAGATGATAGGCTTCATAGAAAATAATGTGTCAAGGTTAAGCCTTGTACTGGAAGAAATCTCACGGTAAGATTCTGAAATTCTACATTTTATAAAAATATATATATATGTATGTATATAGTATATATATAATGAGTTGTGGAAGAATGTGTAAAAGTAATCGAATTTAATAACAGCTAGAGTTCTGAAACATCTCAATTTTTTTCTGTTAGGGTTAGTGCAAAACCTTTCAGGGGACAAAAAGTGGAAGCGATCAGGATTTGCCAACATTTCTTAGTCTCAGATCTGGCTTGACTTAGTACTGCTTCTGGTTTCTGCTCTGCCCTTTGAAGTCCTATTGACAGACTGCTGGCTAGATTAGTGAGATGCCTTAGGTTTTCGTGAATATTGTGAATTATAATGCAGTTTAGTGGAAATAGCATTGGCCTTAGTTCCTGCTAAGAAAGTGTCTTGGAATGCCTTGCAATCTACTAAGTCGGTTTTTAGCATTGAGATAGAAGTGGACAGAAGCAAAGGCGAAAGCAGGGAAGTGTAAATGGAGAGTGTTATGATTTGCTCAGTCTGTCAGTGGAGCAAATAGTCTTTCACTGCAGCATAACAATTATTGAAACAATAAAAATTATATTCATAATGTCAAGCAATATTTTTTTCCAAAGTGCTGGTCGCTATGGAACAAAATAAACTAACATTCATAAAGTCAGGAAAGTGTGTTTTCCTTCTGTTCCTGAAGTATGCAATCTTAACCAGTGAGGAGTGGAGTAAAAGCAAGTAAGTTTTTCCAGGCATGGCGGTTTGGGTTCTACATACAAAGAGTGGTGCTTGGAGGAGACGGAAACAGTATCAAGTAGGTGAGATAAGCAGCTGTGTGTAAATGGTGGGCAGAAGGAGATAAGCAGTAGCCATGAGGTCCAGCCTTCAAAACAAATTTTTCAAGTCCTTCCAGGAGTGGATGGAAGGTTATGTCTGTACCATACCCTTTTAGTGCAGACATTTCTCCAAGTTTATGAGATACAGCACAGTGATGTGAATGGCATGATCTAAGCATTGGCAGGCAAATGTCACTATGCTGTTTCTGTACCTTGCTTGCTTTTCAGTACTGTATAACTTCTCATAGGCTGAAGTTGTCTGTTCACTTCCCGCTCCTGCTAAAAGTGATGCAAGTGACCTGCTGAATTGTGGTTTGAGGTTTTTTAGAACAACTTCTGGGAGAAACACAGAAAAAGGAAAGGTAATCTTTTAAGAGTGAATATTTCGCATTTAAGCAGCACTTGTCTCTGTTTTACTGTAGAAGAAGTGAAGGTCTTAGTGGCCGGGTCCTGAGAAAACTTCCTTTCCTGGCACATGCACTTTATATTCAAGTAAGTTTGTTCTATTCATTATATTTTGGTTTGATATTGTGAGAGGTGGGAAGATATTTGGACACTACCTGAAGTAAAAGATTGAACCTAAACCTACCTTTTAATCTAAATTGCACTGTGTTTTCCGCTTTGTAGACTGAAATAATTTTGTGCTGCCCATAAGTTAAAATGAGATAGATTGAAGAAGACAAGTGGGATTGACCTGTCCAACAGCATTGTACTTTAAATTAAATGTTGTGACAGAACATTGATATTAGTTCTCTGATAATTTCTTGCTGAAAGAAAACCCTTTGCCACTTCAGAAATAATATTAATTTGTTCAAAACCTATTTGAGGCAAATCCACAGTAATAGTGATTGACTCAAGACTTTGCAAGGCTTGACTTTGACTTTACTATGCTAGCTGGTTTAAAACAAACCTGCAGTTTTAGGTTTTGTAGCATTTTGAAAATTTTGTAACATGGAAGTCAAATATTTAAACTGGCTGGCAGGCTGAACCCAGAGGGTGGTGGTGAATGGAGTTAAATCCAGTTGGCATCCAGTCACCAGTGGTGTTTGTTAACCAGGGCTCAGTTTTGGGGCCATTACTGTTTCACATCTTTATTGATGATTTGGACGAGGAGATAGAGTGCACCCTCGGTAAGTTTGCAG